GGGGGGGGGTGTTGTTAAAGGTCACAAAAAAGATATCCTATACAATATCCTCAAAATTGCTAAGAAAGAAAGAACAAATATTCCAGTTGTTGACAACTGTGAGTAAATACAGGACACTGGGCGGGGCGAGGGAGGGAAGCAATAGTTTAGGACAACATTACATAATGAGACCATCTAGGCAACAATGCTTTGAAAACCACACACGCCCACACATTTGTGAGGCACTGGCACTTGTATTGCATGAGCATGCCACTAAGCAAGGGAAGATAATTTATGGAGGGTTTTAGTTTACCACCGGATGAGGTAAATGGCATTGCAACAGAACAGTGACCTTGAGAAATGAGAAGCAGCTGAAAGGTCCGGCTTTTAAATCCCAATGTAAGACCACAGACAGACAGCTAAACTTCTACATAAGGAAAAAAAAAAAAGAAAGAAAAGAATTCCATCATTTCTGGAAATACCAACAACAAGGGGACGGAGACAGCTCAGCCTCGACAAGCGGATTCACAGAGACCTAGAACATCTTACCGGGACTGCGCCGCTCTTCTCCAAAGGTAAATCTTTGGGCCTGGTTCAGTCCAACTGAGGCCTCTGATAAACGAAGAATGGAATGGGTTAAAGGGTAGCCTGAGAGGCTCCACCAAGCAGTGAGACAGACTTGGTCACTGGCGTTTGGCTGCCTGTCCAGCCTTGTGCAGGCAGGCAGGGGCATGGCCGATTCAGAGAAACATCTGCAGGATTGATGCATCTTTCCCCACCGACATTGCAACGAGGGGCAACTTCACTTGCCTGTTAATTCCTGTTCCTCGTCCCTGCTGCATTTCCAGAAACAGTGGACAAGAGGTTGCCATTCACCATGGCCTTAGCGGCCATTCCTCACAGCCATGGTCAAGAACTTGGGTCTATGCCTGATCCCTGGCAAACTTGTCTGTGAATTCGGAGGCCTTTAACCATTGAAGTAATCTGTATTCCCTAGCCCCATTAGCATCTCCTGTCAGGAAAGGACCTGATAAACAGCGATGGAGCTTGATGGTGTCAGTCTTTCCAGGAGGTTTAACATCTATCTCCATTGCAATCAACAGACCTCGAGCCAAGGGAAGAGTGGGTGGCAGGATGCAGAAAGAGGGCAGGGCTGAAAGCCCACAACCAGGAGGGCTCTTACCCGCAAATAACAAGGAACTTTCCTGTCCTCAGGGGCAATGCCTTGAGCAGAAAACAAAAATTCAAAGTACACCCTCCTGTTTTTCAGAAAGGACAGAAAATCAGGTAAGTGCCATTCTGTTATGAAAGAGAGCGTGTGTGCGTGAAGGACAGCAGGAAGGACAGAGGATGGAGACAGGGCAGGAAGGTGGAAGGGAGAGTGAGAGATACGAAGGAGAGAGAGAAAAACAAAGAGGGGCAGAATAAGGAAGAAAGAAGTACAAAACATTTTCCCAGATGACTGGATTGGGATTGCCTATGTTTCCCCACAAACCTTTTTTTAAAAACTAAAATGACCATGCAGGTCAATAGTAGACAGTAGTGGGGAAAAGACCAGTAGGTGACCTTGATTGAATCTGTGTCGGGAAGTCAAAACAGTAGTTTTGCTAGGTTACTTAAAAAAGAATCATCTATTTTCATGGGTAATTATGTTCTGATTTCTTTTGGAACTTACTATTTGTATTTGGGGATATTTTATTGCATTCAAAACAAGGTAGAAAAATGGGAAAACTTTCCCCATCCCCCAACATTGTCTTCCCCACTTGCTAACCCACATATTGGTGGTTGTCAGGTGCTGGGAAATTGGGTCCCATTCATAGCAGCCCTGTGGACAACAGAAGGAAGTCCTGCCCGGTCCTGTGCTAGTCTCACAACTGTCGCTTTGCTGAGTCCAGCGTTGCAGCCACTGGGTCAAACCCATCTTGTGGCGGTCTTCCTCTTTTTCACTTCCGCTACCTTCCCAAGCACGGTGTCCTTCTCCAGCACTGGACCCTCCTGATAACAAGGCCCAAAGTCCCTGAGATAAAAGTTTGCTATCCTCACTGCGATGGAGCATGCTGGCTGTAATTCTTCTTTTTTTAAAACCGTTTTATTGGGGGGCTCATACAACTCTTATCACAATCCATACATACATCAATTGTATAAAGCACATTTGTACATTCATTGCCCTCATCATTC